CTGAGATCCACCACACAACGATTCGTTCAATGAGAAGCCGATATTCGGAGGAAACTATTCAAACATAGGAGCGACCGATAAGGCGCTAGGACCAGTAACAGATGAATCCCCCAACGACAATAAGTCACGGATGATAATCGAGTTGTGCGGAATTTCAAAATCCGAGAGGGAACGGTCGAAGATAAGATCAACCACCAACGAGAAGCGGATGACCTAAGACGGCGACGGTTGCAAGTGAAAAAAAGAGGGGGAATGCGAAGAAGCGAAGAGGAGGCTAAATCGCAGGCGAACTAATTGTCTCGTGACGAAAGGGTCATCAATGGCCGTATGAATCCTCAGGCGTAAATCGGTTTCAGGAACTTTTTTCTTCCCAGTTCCCTAGGGATATTAGAAACGGGCAAGAAGGGAGAATGGAATGGAGATCAGAGGAAGGGGCAGGAGGAAAATAGGAAGTGATGGAAGAAAAAAAAAAGAAACAGTGACAATAACAATGATGAGGATAATAACAAACAAGTGAACAAAAGAAAGAGGAAGAGAAAAGAGAGGGAAGAGAAATTGCCACTACTTGGGTGAGTGGGGGGGAGGGGTGGAGGAAGTAGTAGTAGTAGTAGTATTGGTGGTGGTGGTAGTAGTGGTGGTGGGTGTTGAGGGTGGGAGAGACACTAGGAATCCGACCTGGTGTGTGCGGAAGGCCGATGTGAAGACGAGGCCCGGAATAGTGGAGAAGGGGGAGAAGGAGGTGGTGGGTTGTGGTGGTGGTGGTGGAGGGGAAGGAGGAGGGAGAATAGGAAAAGAAAAGAGAACGAGCAAGTAGCAGGTGGTCCGGCAGGAGGAGAGAAAAAGGGAAGAAAGGACAGGGACGGAAGGGGGGAGAGGGGACTCGGGAGAGAGAGAGAGAGAGAGAGAGAAAGAGAGAGAGAGGGAAAGCAAAGTGTAATTGAAGCAGCACAGAACAGAGCAAAGAGCAAAGAAAGAGCAAAGCAAAACAGCAGCAGAGCAGAGCAGAGCAGAGCAGAGCAGCAAAAGCAAAAGCAAAGCACGCACGCCAAACGGCACGCAGAAAAGCCGGCCGACCGCTTAGTTTTAGCCTTGATCTGTGTCTCTTGTCTCTTGTCTCTTGTCTCTTTTGCTGCTCTTTCTCTCTCTCTTCTCTGGCCCTTCTTCCGTGAACCAGTTGGTTTTGAAATGTGGGTGGGCTGGTGTATGTAATCACTTTCACAGGCAGATAATGCAATGATATAATCAATTCAAACCAAAACAGACTCGAACAGATGGAATAGAAAGAAAAAGCTTGGGACGAGGAAAGTTTGCTCACAATCAATCAATCAACCACAGAGGAATTCAAGATGTGGTCCGGGAGAAGGTGATCACCCAGGCACAGATGAATGAATAGATAGATGGGCAAGGCAAGGCGCAGGCAGGAGAGAATGGGAAACTTCAAGGGAAAGAGAAAGTGAAGAGACACAACGAATGGGACGAAGGGATTCCCGCAGTTGAACTGCCAATGAATGCCAATGAGGGACGGGACGAAGAGACGGGGAAGATCGAGGGTATCCAGTGGATGCAGTGGACAGAAAGCTCGCTAGACTTGTGTGGTCGTGGTCTTGCTTTGCCTTTCTCGTTGCACTACTCCAGTCCTAGCTAGTAATTGAGATGGGTCTCTTTTTTTTTTTTTTTGGCTGTCCCCTCTTCTCTAAGTCTCTATCCCTTCTGGTGTCTTTCTCGGGTGTTTTGCTTTGAGGATGAAGGTGGAAGTTTGGAACGAAGCCGAAGGGAGGCTGGATGGAGCGAGATGGAGAACTCTGATATCACCGAATGAGGTCACTCGATACAATCCTCTCTGTCTTGGTGGGGATGTTCGTCGGCCTTTCTCGACTTCGCTTGCCTTCCTCAGTCTCCTTCAGACTTTGAACTGCTTTGCTTGTGCAGACCTCGTTCAAGGTGGCAAAGGCAGGCAGAGAAACGATTGTTTAGGAAACGTTGGGAAACGGAGGCAGATTATAATGGGAATGGAAATCTGAGGCTTCGCCCAAAGAGACAAGCAACGGTGATTGGTGGTTGATCAATGCAGGCGCAAATCCAGAATCGGGGCTGTCTGCAAGATTGATGCTAGACCATGGAGGTGGGAAGGCTGGGGCCCGAGAGAGAAAAAAAAAGCAAATCATATATATGTGTATAACATATACATATGATCAACGGCAAATCAAAGGAATCACAATCACTTACGGAAGTTGAGGAAAGCTGCAGTTGTGACACTCGAGAGAATCAATCAGTAGAAGAACAATTGGTTGGTTGCCAGTGGATGTGTATACAGAAATAGGCGGACGAGATCTATCGAAACTCTCAGGAACAGACCAAGTACTTAAGTATTTCACATCTCAGGGTGGTCTACTCTTAGGACTGGACTCTTAGGACTCTAAGAATACTAATGGACTTTTAGGAGAAATAAAATTGGGGAAGTGTACAGAGAGGGTATAGAGGGCTAGTACTCCGTACAGTACCGTCCTTCCGGGACTAGCCTAACTACGGGCTATACCTTTCTAAACTCACTGGGCTAAGTAGGTACTAGGTAGGTTAACTATTGTAAGGTAACTAGGTAGGTTTGGCCACCACCACCACCACCGCAACACCCCTACTAATTACGGAAGAGCCGTTTCTGTCGGATGAACCTCCTGAAAAGTCTGGAGATTCAGGTACCAGATACACTCAATCGGAGGTTAGGGATTTACTCGGTTTATTCGGAATTGCTGAATGACTCATGATGGTTGATTCACGCATCTATTCTTTTGTTATTGTCCTGCTTTTGAGTATTGTTACCGCTGTAATTGTCAGACCAACTGGCTGCCCCTGAACAACCCCCTATTAACGGTGTTTGAAGGAAAAGACACACACGCACACACACACAGAAAGCAAAGAAGGTGAAGAGCAGAGCATGTTAATCACCTAGGGGACGATGACGGGATATGTCCTGTCTGCCTCCTCCAAGATTATGCATACATTTAATCATCGTTCTCGCCACTACCACTGTTTTTGAAACCTTCTCTTTGTTCTCTGAACTTCCCCCCTGAGGAAAGAACTAATGGTTTCCCCATAGCCATGCTTCCCACCGCGTCATCTCCCGATTACCCCTGCTGCGTAGTCAAGCGATTGTCGCCATCTGGTCTGTTCTCCTGTCGATGTGTGTGTGTGTGTTTGTGTTTCAGCCTGGCATCGTGTCCGGATGTCCCTGATGGACCAGCGTGAGAACACAGCACCCCGCCTCGTACCTCCCCTTCCCCCCCCTCCCTTCACCCACCCCTCGCCCCCTCATCCTTCAACCTTCCACTCTGAGCCACTCTTGGTGCCTTCTTTAGCTTCCTTGGGCACATTAAGAGGTGCCGTCAACCTGAACTGGATTCTGTCATCAGATATGACGCATTGAGCCGAAGATCGTTCCCTTCTTTCACCATCGGAGACGAAGCATTAGCAATAAATCGCTGCCCATCCTGCTGCCTTAACTCTAACTCTCACAGATCACTTCAATTCTTGAGGCAATTCCCATTGACGGTTCCGAAATTGTTCTTTCTTGGACGGTTTGTACTCGGGGAAACTGTAAGTACAAGCGGTTCGACGCGTCCCTATTGCTCCCTAACGCCGTACTTAGCTAGACTAGGTACGGTGGATTCGGGATCCGCCTTTCGGTGGGTAAACACATGCCCTATAGCTTCAATACTTCTTGGGAAAACAACAATCAAATTCAAAAGTCAAAAAAAGGGAGGGAATTCTCCACACAAGCTTTGCCAGCTTGGCCCTTCCTTCACCTCCGTTGTCAGTGAGTCTCGTCCTGATGATACTCAACGAAACCCCAACATCATCAGGCAATCTACACGAACGAGAAACATACGGTACTCAAGTAGCTGGCCGGGATCAATTAGCCTCCGGCAATGCACTTGGACGCAGGAGCGACTAGCGAGGAGCGAGTCCCGAAAATCCTACCTGTCAATCGGGATTAAGCCCGGCCCCTGATGAGCGGTACTCCATACGACTCTATTTACCCTGCATCCGTCTAATAGAATTCCGGACAAGACACTACCGCTGTTATTATTATCTTCCGTGCTATTATTATCGCTTTCCACCGCCGAAGCAAATTTTACTGCCTCGTCTACATGACACGCAAGTGTCTACGGGGTTCCGGAGTCCGGAGGAGTCTCCCCTAGCATGGAGTGTACTGTACGGAGGGCAGTACTGTGCAAACTGACATGCGCGACGAACCATCTCCGCAAACCCATTGCTCCAGCCTTTGCGATGGGAGTGCGACCTGCATATGGACTTCTGGGTATAGCAATCGGGTTTTCGTTCTTCGGTCAGCAGGTTTCAGGACCAAGAACAAGCGGATCTGGAACGAATCCCATCGGCGCCCACACATCGACGGTCCTACGGAAACCTGGCAATAGGATCCGAAAGGGCGAGGCCACAAAAGCACACCCATACAGTGCACACACACACACACACACACACACACACACACACACGCCATGGGGATCCGCAAGTCCCCGAATTCTGGCTCGCTATGGGGAATGGTCCAATTTTCTGGCGGTTTGGGATTTAACACTCCGAAGCTAGAACCCGCTAGAGTGTCACCGGAACCTGTTAAGCGGAGATGTCAGATTCCCGCTCGCCTGTTTTCCATTCTCGAAACAGCAATAGCAGCAGCAACAGCAGCGCACGGGATCCTCAACTAACTGTAATCCTCCCCATTGTCATGCAGTGGCCCGCAATCGACTGGGCTGACATTTGCCCCGATCAAGCTGGAGAAAGAGAACCGGGGGGAAAAGCCCTCGCTAGGCGAGCACTAAAAAGGCAGTCTCCGTCTCTTACCAGTAGAGTTCCATCGGCGAAGCGTTCACTAAATCCACCACCCATCCTGTTTCGGCACTTACCTTGGGGGTCTTCAATCCTCAGGGTAATTTATTCATGAGGACAGGGCCAGCCAGTCCCGTGGCGTAGCTTGCCGGGGAGCTTCTATGGGCGATCCCGACGTGAGCTAAACTCGCAAGCGCTTCCATAGAATATTCTTAGTCTATTCCCAGTCCACCGAGGGCCGGTTTTCCCTACCCAATGGAGGAAATTGGAATGGAGTCTCTCAGACACTATGGTCCTACTAGTGATTTATCGTTATCGCTGATTGGAAGCTGCATCGGATTAATAATTATTACTATGGGACTGACTGCCCTTAGCCTCCGCGGCAGCAGAGATAGGGGGCAAGCCAGTTCCGGCAATCCAATCGCTTTCGTAAACTCGAATGCGAGTAACTATCAACAAGCGTGCAGAGGAAGTGCAATGCCAGCAGGGCGATGTCCGAATGTGCTCCGTTATGGAGGACCATGCTGTCGTATGCGCGGGGTGCAGAAGGGGATTAAACTGGCTAGGTGAGTTGATCCGAGGATAGTCACATCTACACAGGATACGCCCTCCCCCTACTAACCTGTCGAGTCTCTACTATTGAGAATCTCTTATTTACATTACAATAGTGGATAGCTACGATCAACCGCCTGAATTCCTCTTTTTTAGCTCTTCCAACCCTTTCCTGGCCAAACCCTCGTGGTCACGGGCTTCTCGCACCCACGCAGCACTTGTCACTACCGCACAGCTCAAGTACCTCGAAACAAGACACCAGTCCTCGTGGCTGTGGAAATAACATGATGCAATCAAGACGGAAAGCAAGCGCATGGGATTGCGCCTCGTATATCCCGTCAAGGTCAATCTCTACCATACACACGGTAGTAGGAGGTGAAGATCATCATCTCACAACATCCGTTGACTGGCCGGAAGGACAAGTAGACGGGTTCATTGTATTGACCGTGTCCACTTTCTTGCTGTGGCTCGCCGAAGTCATGATTGCGACTTATGTCATTCACCTGAAACAATCCATTTTCTCCCTGGTGTCTTTGTCGAGGGGGGCTCGCATCGCCAGCAAATGTGTGGCGATCTGCAGATTCGGTACCCAACGACGCCAGCAAGAGCTCGATGACCACCCTGTGAGGGAATCGATTTACGATCCTCTCAGATTATTGAAACGATGATGACATCTTTCTTCCACTGCTTTTGTTACTTTTCTTGTTCTGTTCTTAATCGCCATACTCCCATATTTTTGTTTTGGTCTGTGCAAAATGGAGCTAATGCAATGCAGCATGTAAGCCACCTGATCCATCATTCTGACCTCGCGCCAGTCGCCACTTGAGTGAAATATCCCCCCTCCCCTTCCGAAAAGAGACGGACAGAGAAACCCTACCAACATGTTCAGACGGTGCATACGGTACACACAGAGAAATCTGCCCAACAACGAACACACCCATACCAGTGACATATAAGTCGCTCCTTTCTCCCCTTTGGCCTTTCATCTCCCCCCTCCTCTCCTTTCGATTCAAAACAACATTTCACAGCAACTTCACTCGCCCCCACTCCGACTGAATCACCAACCTGTCACTCGCGAGACTATCCATGGATCAGACCGACCTCGCCCAAGCAAGGGCTGACGACCCCATCTCCCTCCAGCACCAACAACACACACTCACATACACACATGCAAAGAGAAGCCACTGGTCCTGTACGGAGGAATCCATACATGACTGTATGTACGTGCAGTACATATGAAAGGTCAGATACCTTTTTCCTGATCCGGCCTCAGTCACATCGCCCATGCTGCATGCCTACGGGGTTAGATGGGGCCCTTACTGGACCTCCGTTCCGTCGTTCCGTCCGCCAGGAGCGAACAGAAAAGACCCCGTGGACTGGGAAGTTTGTTTTCTTCTCATCTCCTCCTGTCAGCATCTGTCATTTCGGTTGTTCCCGTGGTGATTTCGGAAGGATTTCGGAAGGAAAGAAGGAAGGGAGGGAGAAATCGTTCAGCCCGTGAGTGCGGTCTTTTGGTCGCTGTCGACGGTAAGTGTTGTTGGGTAGGGTCCACCTTCGTGGTATCTGCACGCTTTGCTTTCCCTCTCCCTTTTGGTTGCTTGGCGTTGGATAGATATCATGGTGGGCTGGAGTGTGAAGGCCCTTAGGTGGAGTGCTGGATTCGATTGCCCATATACTTTTGGAGGGGGTGCGGAGGCTGAGGGAGATCTCTCATATTTGACGCTGTCTTTGCGTAGTGTAGTGTCCAGAAAGGGCAGCACTCTCTTGTAAATACCGCACAGCGGTCATCGCTGCTGGTGAGGTGTAGGTGTAGGTTTCGATCGATGAGGCTGCTGGCGTTCTCCTCCGTGGAGAATATGTGCTTCCTCGGTCCCGGCAGTTCTCATCTGACTCCATCGACTCTCGCTCCGAAATTAGTATGAAGGTAGTATGTGAAGTTCGCTGATCTGGTGTCCGATCATCGCATCTCATTCATTATTTGAGACAGTTTGCGCCCTGCACAGTACACCTCTTGTAGAAATCTATTACTGTGGGTGACTCGTGGATAAGCTCACCACCTCCGCTTGATGAAGGATGGCCTTCTCCCAGCAACGGTCGACCACATCCACTCCTCTTGCTTTGCGGTATGACCAAGGCTAGCGCCATGAAGCAATGCATAATACTATCAGCAAGTGACTATATCCCTTGACTTCTCAGAACTTGAGCCCTGAGCCTCAATACTCAGCAACCGTTGAGTCTATACTGCTAGCACCAGATACCCTGACTCAAGAGTATCTTATTCGTGTTCATCGAAACAAAGACTAAATGACAGCAGCATTCTCACAACTTGACAACTGCAGCCAAACCCCATCAACCGTCCTAACCAAACCCAAACGACACCAACCCAATAACATGATATTATATCCAATCTACCATAGTCATCACTCATACTTTCATAGTCCATAATTCATATCATAGATCTAACCAACCTATCCCCTTCTACCCTCCCTCCCGCTCACCCCCATCCCTCTCTGCCTCCAAGCCCTCAGCTCCAAAGGCCTCACTCCCCGAATCCCCTACCAGTCACCCTCATAACAAAGCAAGAACCCCCACCCCAACAACAGCCGCAAAAGACGCAGCCCCATGACCCGCCACCACGCCCACCGCCGCATTATCAGAAACTCGAGCCCCCTCCGCAGAGATCGCGCCCGTCGCTGTACCCGAATCACCCCGACCAGTCGCACCACTACTACCACCGCTGATACTAACACTATCCCGACCTCCCCCCGTCCCAGCAGCAGCAGCAGTAGTCGTACCCGCGGCCCCCGCCCCAGTAGCACTCGCACTAGCACTAGCAGTCGCATTCCCACTCCCAGTCATCGACGCATTCACCGCGCTCAGCACCGAGGTCGCAGCCGCCGGGTTCCAGGTGGTGGTTGAAAGGGAGCATGAGGTCAGGATATCGTATGCGTCTGCCCCAGCCGCCCGACCCCATCAGATTAGTTTGATGCTCCGCTGCGGGTCACTTTGCCTTAAAGGTGCATGAAGGGGTATGCATACCGTTATCGTGTCGGTCATTGTCATTGTCATCATCATCATCGTTGTCATCGTCATGGTCATCATCGTGATCGTGATCGTGATGCTGCTGGGTCCGGTAATACCCGATGCAGGCCTCGCACAGCGGGATGAGCGTGGCGGCGCGGTCCCACCCGCAGACGCATTGGAGTTCGGCGCGGTCGTTGTCGGTCTGGGCGTCGCAGGCGTGCGAGATGTTGACGACGGGGCCGCACGGCTCCCAGCAGGGGCTGGGGACGTCGTTGCGGTCGAGCTCCCCGCCAGCGGTGGCGGTGGTTGCGAGCATGAGGCCGCTGAGGGCTAGGAGGTGGGCAATCTGCATTGTGGTTTTCGTTTGGTGGACGGAGGTGCGAGATGCGACGGGGATGAAGAGCGAGAGAGAGAAAGAGAGAGAGAGCTGTGTATGAGAGAGAGGATGGTGACGACAAGGCTTGTTGTTGAAGTGTTCTGGTGCTGGTATCGAACTCTAATCGACCGAGGGACCATGGAGCCCATCTTTATACTTTGTCTTGAAGCTTGCCTGCCCTTCCCCCTCATTTGCTTTTGGGTGGATGTTTCTATATTTGCTTCATCGCTACTTCTGAAGTGTAGGCTACAGCTTCCTCCCCTCCTCTCCGGAGCAGAGCAGAGCATTGCCGATGCTGATGCCGAGTTCGCTTGAGTGACGAACAAGTCCCTCCTCCATTCATCCGGTACGTAGAACCCTCGATGCGAGAACCTTCTTGCTGGACGCTATCTGCGCTATCTGGATGGGACCGTTGCTCAGCCTCGCCCAAGTCACGGTCGCCAAGGAGGGTGGAAGATCAAAAACAGGAGCAGGACCCTGATGAAGCGGCGATCAACTTTCGGCAAAGCCAATATACACTGCGTAAAAAGTGGTTGCCTGGTAGTGTGCAGTTGCAGTGGTCGAGATGATTGCGGTTTGCGGTTCGGAGAATGGTTCTGTAGGTTGGCGTTTGTGGGCAGATCTTCGTCCCCGGCTGGGGAGTGGTTGCTTGGCTTCTTGGCTTTGCAATCGCGATGGTATGTCATGCAGAGTCAGGGTTCATCCCGACTGATTATGGGCCGCATTTTTTGAGGGGAGGGTGGATGTTTAGGAAGAGAGACGCTGCTTTGGATCAGTGGCATTGTGTGTTTATGATGGAATCGTGGACATGGTCACTCTAGAGTGTGGAACTCTTGCGGATTCATTGTGATGGTTTGTGAAAATATTCCCATTACAGTACAAGTTCATATATCCCACATAGGAAAATTGCCAGTTGCAAGTTGGAGTTTGGGTAGAGAAACGTCGGAGGTGTAGAAACGATTCTGGAGAAAACGCATACATGGGATGTCCCTGAAAAGCCCTGCACCGCCTCCTTGCTATATATAGATAGCGTCACACGTTAATCGAACCACAAGCCATTCAGAGCATCCATTTGTATATTAGAGAACTATGTTGCCTACATGTGTATGCATGAAGACTGACAGTCAAGACAACAACTGCCGATAACTCAAGTGTGAGTATGAAAAGAACTTGCACCGAATGTGCCAAATATCACGAAAACGGGCCGGGCGGCTTTCGGGATTTGGTCAGTATCCATGACTCGAGTAGTGAAATGGGACCAACTATGAAATGCACACTCAGTTCCCTACTTAGTAGTAGTCCTTTTGTCCCATACAGGGCCTACTATAGCTAAGCCTGGTGGAGTAGATGGATAGTTTCCGGAAATGAATTCCCACGTACACCAAAAGAGTAAAGCTGGTATGCTGTCTAGGTCATGATGAGGTCAGTTGCCCCTCTTTGGATGATAAACTGCGTCGGAATGTACCGTCGACAACCCTCAATCCCTCATTCTGTCCATTTTATCCCATTCCAGTGGATGTGGATACATGTCCTGTCATAATATCCCTGGCTTTTGAAGTCCCATGTTTCCACCTCGTGCGTGACTTGCTAGGTAGTAGTACATCACACCCTTAGTATACTCCATACTTCATATTATATCTCCTGTACCTTATGCTTCCAACTTTCCAATGGCCCGCGCTGCGATAAGCAAGATGTCCTGGGAAAACCATGTCCTTCGGCCGGTCCAGAACGCCCCTCCGTCTATAATACCGACTCTGATATATGGGACCGCATGGAAGAAAACCCAGACTACGGATCTGGTTCACCAGGCGCTGAGCACTGGCTTCCGTGCCGTGGATACAGCTGCCCAACCAAAACACTATCGGGAGGATCTAGTTGGAGAGGGCATTCGCCGGGCCCTCAACGATGGCGCCATCCAGCGCAAAGATCTCCATGTAAGTCCCCGTCATTACACACGGTGGGAATCTCAATCCTCTGGACAAGCATGCCCTGCTGCATCCTGATGCATTGGCCCCCGCGGTAGCTAAGCCAGGTTCCAGATCCAGACCAAATTCACCTCCGTCCGGGGCCAGGACCCCAAGGATATGCCCTACGATCCGCAGGCGTCCGTGACCGAGCAGGTCCATGCCTCGATTCGTTCATCGCTGCATAATCTGCGTCCGGCCGAGGCGCCGGAAAGTGCGGACGAGGCGTACCTCGATATGCTTATCCTCCATTCCCCACTGCCCACCATGGCGCAGACGCTGGAGGCCTGGCAGACCTTCGAGACTTACGTCCCGCACCGCATTCGCAACCTGGGGATCTCGAACACCGACCTGTCCGTTCTGAAAGAGCTCTTCACCCAGGCGCAGGTGAAGCCGTCGGTGGTGCAGAATCGGTTCTACGCCGACACGGAGTATGATGTCGCGCTGCGTGCCTTCTGTCGGGAGCAGCACATCGTCTATCAGAGCTTCTGGACGTTGACGGCGAACCCGGATCTCGTGCATTCGAACGCCGTGCAGTCATTGGCCCGGCGGGCAGAGCTCTCCCCGGCGGCAGCCCTCTACTGTCTGGTTTTGGGCCTAGGGTATACCACGGTGTTGGATGGGACCACCAACACGGCTCGGATGGAAGAGGATTCGGCTGCTCTCGCGAAGATCGAACGATTTTCTGGTGCGCAGCCAGAGGAGTGGCAGGAAATCCTGGCAGAGTTCCGACTATCAATCGGGGAGTAAGCCACGGCATTGGATGAGAAGGTTTAGACTACTAGGTATCCTCTCTATCTTGTTGTGTCACTGGGGGGAAAGGAAAAGGAAACCCGCGATAAATTGTGGAGGTTGTCTCGTACTTCCGGCGGAATCTCGGTCCTGGCCCGTTTGTTCTTGGCTATGCCCTCTTTTGGCTGGTGTTTGCGCTTTCCGTCCCTTTGTGGTCCTCTTTCCCCAGTCACTTAGCAAGGGAGCAAAAATTTGATCAGCCAGAACTCCATCGAAGGCGCTTGAAACATCTGGAGAGCCAATGGTTCTGGGGATCACGGCCATTGGAGGCCGAACAAGGTCGAGACTACTGTTGATAGTAGATGATGATTGGATATGAGGCCGAAGTGGAGAGCGTGCCGGTCCAAGGCACGACCGAACTAGTGTATAGACAGCCTCAAACTGTACCTTTGTAGTAGTTTACAAGTCATTTGAACAACACAAGATTTTTTTTTTCTTTTCTCTGTGTCCTAGGGTTCCCGCTCCGATACTGGGGCACTAAATGATAAGAGCCGGACCCGAAGATGAGTGTCAGTGCTGATATATCTATATCTTCTTACCTACTATCAATAGGTACTAAACCAGTATAGCCCAATCTCGAGTTGAAGTTAACGGCTGCTTTCAGAGTTGACCAGTTGCCGACCCCCATCGACACGTGCAAGTGACAATCAGCTGAGTCAGCTATCTGCAAGACCCGCCAATCAGTCGGCACAGTTAAAGCAATTGACCTCATCACCGCCCGCCAAGCTTCTCGATAGGAGGAGTTTTGCAAGACTGGAAACACCGTTTTTTGTTCTCTAAATCCACCTCCACCAAGACCGCGCCATTAGGACCCATTAGGATCAGCTTGTTGTTGCTGCGGAGCCTTGAAACTAGGAGAGGGTCGTGAGCCGACATTTTCAGCGCAGTCCTTTTCTTTTTTTTTTTTTTTCTTAACTGAATACCTACCTACTCTACCGGTATACTACTACTTTATTGCCCTGCGCTGGTGCTTTTGGCTTTCCCTGCGCCCGCCCGCCGTGTCTTCCCCCTCTGCAACCCAACTGGTCGAGTCCTATCAAGGCTGTCACAATCGCACTGCCATCGTTCCCTACAACTTTCACTTCTCTGCATCTGTGCGAGACACTGCAAACCAAACGACGATCCTAGTATACAATAGCAAACGATTGTTCTCATTATTCCATACCCGCCCGCCTATTGCCTGACTCCCGCCTTTCGCGTTCATTTCTTGCAACTACTCCATCTAGCGTCTGCGGCGGCGCCCGTCGCGTCTCCGCCATTGACACTTGCGTTCTCCATCCACCCTTGTCCACTACTCCTCCTCCTCCTTGCTCTGTTCCTTGTTTATCATATCCTTTGAGTGATATAGCTCTGGGATTATATACCTTCGCCCCTCCCACGACGTTTATGACTGTCCTTGGTTTTGCGATTTCCGAAATCATCCAGCCGTGCCAGCTGAACACCCGCCCGCTTATCCCCCGCCATTCGCCCACACCCAGCAGATCCCGAGCAGCGAGTCGTTCCTCCCTCGCTGATCGCTTGTTTCTCGGACTTTTTATCCTGCCCCATCCCTGAGCACGACGGACGGAACACGCGAATCGACCAAAAAAAACTCCTCTCTCCACAATACCCGCTTGCCCGCCCGACCGACCGTCTGTAGGTCGTTCAGTCGCCTGTGATGAGCCCTCAAGGAATCACCCGCAAACGACCAGCTCCTGGCACATCCCCCATCGTGCACCCGCAACTTGGCCCGCTCACGAATTATCCTCAAAATCCCGGCAACCAGCTGTCGAACGACCAGTTCCTACAATGGGGCCAGAATCCGTCCTCCAACGTCTCCAGCCCGTCCTACCCTGATGCGAGTTCTTACAACCCGGCGGCCTACACCTCGAACTCAGATGTCCCGGCCTCCACAGTGACAGCTTCAGGCCAGCTTGCTCGGCGCCAGACCCCCACTCAATTGGTCAACCGCAGTCGCGGGTATGACCAGACGTCGGCCTCTTTCTCAGACCCTGGCAGTGGGTCTGGCGAGTCCGGTGGATGGGGGGAGAGCCTCAGTGAGTTGTACGAGCGCGCGATGGTCGCGAAGAGAGAAGTTCAGGCCAAGCGAAAACAGATCCCTCCTTTCGTTCAGAAACTGAGCAGGTACGCTCCTCCGGAAAAGCAACTTGACTTACGGAAATAGGTAACTAACCATGGCTGCAGTTTTCTGGATGAGTCCAAAAACACCGATCTAATTCG